CCCACCCACCCGCGGCAAAGCGAGACGCACGCCGCGCCCCTCCCCACTCCCCCGGGTGCCTGCTTCGCCCACTCCACGCGATCAAAGAAACTGTACCGGGCAGCGACCGAGAGGAAGAGGCGCAAAGGGGGGGGAGGGCGGCGAAAACAGCCCCCCTCCCCAAAGCTCTTTGCAAACTCTCCCCCGCTGGCTGTCAATACGGGAAAATGAGGTGCGCGGGTGGGTGTCTCCCCCCCCCCAAGTGCTGAGTCACGGCCTTTCTCCGGACGGCCGGGCGTCAACGCCGAGGGGGCGCTTGCCAGCCTGCCCCGCTGGACTTGCTGCTAAGTTTGGGTTCCGCTGGGCTCCCCATTGCAGCCTCGAAAGGGGACGATCCGGCACTGAGAGAGGAAGACGCGAGGCTGGTGTTGGGAAGGCGCAGGAAAAGCGGGGCGGGGGTCCGACCCCACCTTCCCCAGCTCTTAGATCTGGGGCAGGCAAGGTCTCTTTTTTTCGCCTTTTGCCCCAAACGGCTTCTTCGCCCGCCTTGCCTCCAACCGAGAGGCGCTGGGTTCCTTGAATCGGACGAGGATCGCGTCCCCGTTCCTCCCGCCCCTCCCGCGGTTAACTCCTTTTACCAACCTGCCTGCGCCGATCCGGCCCGGGCACACATGGAAGCTTGCAAAGCGCGGCCTTTTCTGCAGCTGCTCGGCACGCGTCGGAGCCGGCAGGCGGCGGCGGCTTGAGCAGCAGCAGCAGCAGCGGCAGCTTTTGGTCCGGAGCGCAGGACCAGCTGCGGCCGCCGCGCTCGATTCTGGGAGGAGGGAAGAGCCAAGCGGGGTCCCAAAACATTCGGCGCGAAGAGCTCCGCCCCCTGCCACCTACGAGAAGGAGGAGGGGGAGCTTCGCGCGCAGCCTTGTAAGGCGAAGGAGGACAACACCCGAAGAGGAGCGATCGCGGCAGGGCGGAAAACCAGAGCGCATCTCTCCAGCATCCTGGCGGGGGGGCGGGGGGGAGGACCGCGCAGGAGACTGAGCGGGGGAGTAGGGGGGCGGGGCGACAGAGGTGTGAAAACACCACGGCCCGACTTGGGGAGAGTCTCACTTTTTGAAGAGCCGAGGGAATACGGGAGTGTCACGTTGCTGTTACCACCGTTAAACGCGTGGGGTGTCTGGAGGAATAAGGGGAATTGGCAGTGCTGAGCGCCCCAAATCCCTGAAAATACTGTTTTATTTGTCTGGCAGGTAGGAGGGGCTCCTAGGAATCTCTTGGTTCTTCAGTTTCTTAAAAGAATAGACTGTGCAATGGACCCTTCCCTTTTATAGTTTCGGAAATGCACTTCATAAATCCAATCAATCAATCAGAATAGAGGTTTCTTAGCAAGAGAGGTCTATAGAAGAGGTTTTAATTTGTGAAACTGCCTCTTAATATTTGTATCAGAATAACAGAATAACAGAGTTGGAAGGGACCTTGGTGGCCTTCTGATCCAAACCTCTTCTCAAGCAGGAGACCCTACCATTTCAGATAGGTGTGTCTGTCCAGTACAGTGGTGTGTTTCAAAAATTGTTCGAACCTACTCTGTGAGTGTGGACTCCTTTGTGGGAGTGGCTTGCCGCCCATGTTGACCGGATGGGGTTGGCTTGCTGCCCATGTGACCGGATATGAAGATGCCGAAGACACTTGTCAGAACCACCT